GAACAGGTGTAGTGTCTAGGCACTGTGTGTACACAGAACGCCACAATGATCAGACAAGGACTCGATTAGCGGGTGAAGACGGAAGATACTAGAAGGAGGGATTTACTGTGCACAAAACCCTGAGTTGCTGTCTCAGGCAGAAGTCGCCGCTGGCGAGGCCAGGGCGTGGGCTGACGGCAGTAAGTCATGTCTGAGATAGAGCAACTGTGAGAAAAGTAGTGAAAGCTGTTTTAGTAGGCTTGTGGAGCAAGTTCAAGTGTCCTTCATTAGGCGTGTGCTGCACTAGTCGAGTGCCGGTGTGCCGCAGTGTTATTTTGTTAGTGTCGTCTACAATGAGCAACACGGGAGTTGCTTTGAACCAACACGGGACGCACATCAGAGTACGGCGCATGTTATTTAGGCTGCGCGCACATAAAAATTGTCGTGCATGTGGGGGTGTGGCGGCACGTCTAGGTGCTGGCTCGCGCCGCGCCGGCCACCTGCGCCAAATTCCCGCGTCAGGTAGCTGACCGGCTTACACAGTGGACTGATTCACGCGAGAAGTAACAAAGAGTGTAGTCGACACCGCGGAACTCACCCCAACGACACTCAGCGTGCATTCCTTACCACAACCAATCTGACGAACTCTTTAACTATCACATCGCGCAAGAATCCGTGAGTGGATAGACTGCCACTTGACGAGCTAGCCCAGTCCTCCTCTCAGAACAGTCAGACTGCAATGGTTCCTTCATAATGTGGTCTCCATGGCACTTCCACTCAGTTGGGATCCGAGTCACCCACTTTCTGGCTTATGTAAAAACCTGGTCCATCGTGCGCCGACGAGGCGCGTCTGGCAGGCGCAGACGGGCTGTTTAACCTTGACCGCCACTGTGCCGGATCCCGTCTCCAGCCTTCTTGACACTGTGTTAACAACGTGCTCAGGAGAATGAGGGAGGAGACAGTGCGGCAGATGCTAAGCAAGTCTGTTGTCGCCAAACGCGCAAATCACTTTCTCTGTGTCCGCTATACCGCCGGACGCATGGTGAACATTGTCCGAATTGACGGTCGAAATATCATGCTGCATTGGTCGAGAGGTGGCGTGTTAAAGTGGCGGATGGGCGGCTGCGACTGTTTGAATGCACGTGTTCGATCAGAAGTCCGTCGAGTGGCTGCAGGTCAGCGGGTCTGGGACCGTTCGCTGCGAAGGTGAATTGCCATGAACCAGCGGGACCCTGAGCAAAGACGCCAGCCATCGGAATGATGGCTGTCAGTGACATAACTCACATTGGTTGTACGAGTCAACGCTTATCAAAAAGTGTACATAAACACCTGCTAGTACGGCTGAGAAAGGTCAAAAGTGGGAGCATACATAGTGTCCTCGTTGCACATGCGATTGATTTTGGACATCGCGCGCATCAGAACTAGGCCATTTGAGTGGCTTTTAAGGTCACGCAGGGCTACATAAAATTGCTAATATAGCGTCTACTGCCAGCCGCAGAAGCGGCCGCAGTCAGGTTACGCAAGATAATACTGTGCGCAGAAGACCATCGTGTGGGCTGAAACATTTAACATGACCAAACTCCAGTCAAGTGTAAGCTATTCTGCTCTTTCCAACCCTTCCCCCCCAACAACTCTAAACGTAATTAACTGGCAAGAACGACTCTGATCGTATCTAATTATCTCCACATGTTCTGCTCCTCTCACTGATGTGAAAGATGAACATAAATCCAATCTTCATTTATCCTTTTGTTTCCACTAACTCCCTAGTCGTGCAATTACGCAGACCTTTGAGCATTCGTCGAATGCAAATGTATACTTGAAAATGAGTTTTACGAGTACTTTTATGGAGATTTTAGCTTTTTCCTAACTGGTAAAGCTCTCACAAAGAATCGGCAAGCGCTGTGCATTGCTTTACAACCTAAGGCAGTAATCTTCAAACCATCCGAATGGAAATGGTCAAAGACGCAAGCTGTCAATCCCGACTCACGTTCGGCGCGCAGGTGGGTCTCGCTGGAACTGTTCAAACCCAGTGAAATATTAACACATTCAGTTTGTTCTACAAAAAACCATTGCTACTACTACTACTACTACTACTACTACTACTACTACTACTATGACAGTTCGACCATCGTTTTCGATGATGTCCACCGTGTGCCCCACAGTTACAGCAGCAATGGGAGCAGGGACGGTGACTTACGCAGGCGTTTACAGTGCCGGTAGACTTGCGTAGCATCCACCTACACTCTCTCCTCCTCCCTCGCCCAAGCCCGGTGTCAAGACAGAGTCAAGAAGACCGGAGACGAGAGAGGCCGCAGGTGGATGGCACGGACGGATCCTCACCTTGGCGTTCCACCACACCCCCTGGTCCACACAACAAATAACCAGGATTTCAACCAACACAAGAGAGATTTGGAGGCTGGCACGGCCGAAGCCGCACCTGGGCGTGCCGCCAACGCCTGGCTCGGATCCCACACTGTGATGGGAGTGCCATAAAGGCCACCTTAAAAAGGAGCCATTGCAGCCTGACTCTCAGACCGCCTCCGGTCAAGGAGGAGGTCCAAGTTACCCCGTCAGTTGGCAACCTTCCAAGCCAAGGCTTTTAGCGCACCGTGATAGCTTCAAGCGCGTCAGATTGTTTATAGTGAGGAGGAAGTGCGCTGAGTCGTCGACCTCACTCTCCCTTCCCACTCCCACACCCCAGCCGCTGTCCGAGCCGGTCAGCAGACTGGAGTGGGGAATGGGCGCGGTGACTTTCATGGTCGAATGACCATGACTGCGCGCACCACGGCACGACCTGGCCCCCCATGCACACAACACCAGGATTTCACACAACGGGGGTTGAACGGCGTGTCTCTCACTTGCGTGAGAGTGCTGTGGAAGGTGCTGTTTCAGCCCGTTCCCAGCCCACCAGTCCGCCACTCCACACAACACACACACACACACACACAACGCGACGAACTGCGTGAACCGAGAGCAGGCGTCAATCAACAACCTTCCTATCCACGACGCTTGACGTGTCGGGATAGTCTCGGACTCAAGTCAACCGTGCAGCCGAAGCCGCAAGGGGACCGAGTCGAGATGCGGACTTCCCACTTGCGTGGGAGGTGGCAGTTGGGTGCATGAGGTGTGTGAGTGTTGATTTCTGGTGGGGTGATGGTGGTGGTGGAGGAGGTAGGGAGTGAGGGAATGTGTGGTGTGACCGGCGGTTGTCTACCGCAGGTCGTCGTGGATGCGCATGTGGCCGAATAGGCCCATGCGATGCCTGAAAGTGCGGGGGCAGTGTGGGCAGTTGAGACGAGCTTGGTGGGTATAGGTGGGTGCTCCAGGAACTGGGTCGCCAGTCTCTGTGCGATGGATTCGCAAGTGACCGACCAGGCCGATGCGTGAGGTGAATGTGCGTGGACAGTGTGGGCATGAGAAGTCGGCGATGTCGGTGTCAGCTACAGAGGAGGCGGTGGTGGTGGTGGCGCGGACGGATGGAACGAGGATGGGGGTGTGCACGGTGGATGTGTTGGATGTAGTGGGTGTGTCGGGAGTGCGGTTAAGGCCGCTCTCGTGGATGCGCATGTGGCCGAAAAGACCCATGCGATGCCTGAAGGTGCGAGGGCAGTGTGGGCAGTGGAGGCGAGTGCGGTGGGTGTAGGTTGGTGCTTCGCGCACTGGTTCGCCAGTCTCTGTGCGATGGATTCGCAAGTGACCGACCAGGCCGATGTGTGAGGTGAAGGTACGGTCGCAGTGAGGGCAGGTGTAGTCCTGATCCTCATCCCTGGAGTCGGGGGAGGTGGTGGTAGTGTCGGTTGTTGTGCGCTGGACATTCGCCTTAGCGGCCGCCGTTGGAGAAGTGGGCGAGGAGGAGGAGGAGGAGGAGGAGGAGGGGGAGGAGGAGGGGGAGGAGGAAAAGGATGATGGAAGTGGTGGGTAAGAAGACTTGTCAGGGTTAGTTGGCGGCGGAGAGGAGGAGGAAGAGGCAGGCGGGGGGACGATGGTTTGTGCCGTTTGAGAGGCGCAGTTAATTTGAAGATGTCCAACAAGTCCGATTCGAGCCCGGAATGTCCGTTGACATCGAGGACACGTTGGAAGCGGTTGTGCGGCGGCGTTGCTTATTGAGCGAAGTTGTGATTTGCGGGCTTCCCGTTTCGCTTTGGCGGCAGCGATGCGGTTGGCTTCGTATATCGCAGCGCCTGTCTTCACTGTCCTCCTCCAGGTCGGTCGATCGAGTGCGAGCTCCTCCCAGTTGGTCGGGTTGATTTGCAGGCATTTCAGGGAGGACTTCAGGGTATCCTTGTAACGGCGAATCTGGCCTCCTTGACGGCGAAAACCCGTCGCGACGTCTCCGTAGAAGAGTCGTTTGGGTAGTCGCTCGTCGTCCATGCGCACCAGGTGGCCGCCCCAGCGCAGCTGAATTTGCCTCAGTATGGCGTAGATGCTGAGGATTCCCGTCCGTTCCAGCACGTCAGTGTCGGGGATTCGATCCTGCCAGTTCAGCCTCAGGATGCGACGAAGACAACTGAGGTTAAAGTGGTTCAGACGACGTGCCTGCTTTGCGTACACCGTCCAAGTCTCCGCTCCATACAGTATCGTCGGCAGGACGACGGCCTTGTACATCTTCAGCTTCGTGCTCAGCTGAAGACCGTGGCGATTCCAAACTGTGCTTTGGAGGCGACCGAAGGCTTGACTGGCTTTCGAGATACTGTTGGGGACTTCGTCGTCGATCTTGGTGTTGCGGGAGAGAGTACTGCCCAGGTACGGGAAGTTCTCCACCACCTGCAGTTGGGTCCCGTTCACGCTGATTTGCGGCGGCGCGTTGGGGGCTGTGGCTGAGTTGGGTGGAGGTTGGTGCATCACCACCGTCTTCTGCGTGTTAATGACCAGACCGCAGTTCTCGCAGGCGGCGGAGAAGAGGTCCATGCTCCGTTGCATCTCCTCTTCCGAGGTGGTGTTCAGGGCGCAGTCGTCGGCGAAGAGGAGTTCGTGCACTGTGGTTGTGGATACGCGCGATTGGAAGTGCATCCGCCGTTGATTCAGGAGATGGCCGTCCTGTAGGCGATGCGGATCCCGGGGCGTTCGTCGCGGTAGGCGTCCATCAGCATGGCAGAGAACATAAGACTGAAGAGGGTAGGCGCCAGCACACAGCCCCGCTTCACTCCGTTGGTCACTGCGAATGCCTCTGAGACAGCTCCGTTGTCCGTGACTCGCGCCATCATACCGTCGTGCAGCTGACGCACCATCTGAGTGAATCGCTCCGGACAGCCGAATTTCTGCATGATCTTCCACAGTCCTTCACGATTCACCGTGTCGAAGGCTTTCGTCAGGTCCACGAAGGTAGAGTACAGGTGGGTCCGCATCTCCTGACACTCCTCCTGAAGTTGACGGGCGGCGAAGATCACGTCCGTGGTCCCACGATGACGACGGAAGCCGCATTGGCTTTCCGGCAGAAGGCCCTGTTCCAGATGGTTATTGAGGCGGTTGAGCAGGATGCGAGCGAAGATCTTCCCGGCAATGTTCAGCAGGGAGATGCCGCGGTGATTGTCGCAGACTTGGCGATTCCCTTTGCGCTTGTAGAGATGCACGATTGTTGCGTCTTTGAAATCTTGCGGGGCTTCACCTTGACGCCACATCTCTTGGAAGAGCGCAGTCAGGTGATCCATCAGTTGGGGACCTCCGTGCTTGTAGACCTCAGCAGGGATTGCGTCCGATCCGGGTGCTTTCCCACTGGAGAGCTGCTGCACGGCCCTGATGGTCTCCTGGAGAGATGGCGGGAGGTCGAGGTCCACGTTGGTCTCCACTTGCGGCAGGCGCTCGATGGCGGCGTCGGAGATCACGGAGGGACGGTTGAGGACGCCTCGGAAATGCTCGGCCCATCGCTGCAGGATTTGCGTCTTCTCAGTCAGGAGAGTACTGCCGTCGGCGTTGAGGAGAGGAGCAGTGCCCTTCGTCGCCGGACCGTAGACAGCTTTGATCGCAGAGAAGAAGTTCTTCCATTCGTTGCGGTCCGCGTACCCTTGGATCTCCTCAGCTTTGCGAGCGGTCCAGGCGTCCTGCATCTCGCGCAGTCGCTGCTGAAGTTGGCGGCGGCTGCGGTAGAAGGCAGCTTTGGTGGCATCAGTGGGGTGATCTACCTAGACTTTGTGTAGGCGGTTCTTCTCAACAAGCATATTTCTGATGGCGGTGTCGTTGTCGTCGAACCAGTCCTGGTGTTGGCGGGGAGCGCGACCGAGGACGGCGAGCGCCGTCGACTGGACCGTGTCTCGCAGTTGACACCAGCGGTTCTCCACGGAGGCGTTCTCGGCAGCGGCGGCGTCGGCAGCGATAGGAAGGTTGTCTAGCCTTTGAGCTAGGTTATTGCTGAAATGAAGATGGTGAGCGGGCAAAGACAACAAGGCAACATTCAGCTTACCTGGGGGTCGCTTACTTTGTGGTCTCCTGCGAGGCTGTAGGCGAATACGCATCTCCGAGACGACGAGGCGATGGTCGGTCTACCCGTCAGCACCCGCGATCGCCTTCGTCACCAGCACGTCCCGCTGATCTCGCCTCCGGACGAGGACATAGTCCAACAGGTGCCACTGGCGCGACCGAGGATATCTCCAGGTGGCCTTCGCTCGCTCCGGCAGACAGAAGAAGGTGTTCGTCAGGATGAGGCGGTGTTCTGCGCAGGTGCGGAGAAGCAGCAGACCATTGTCGTTTGAGCCGCGGAGACCGTGGGGACCGAGCACTCCTCTCCAGGCAGTATGGTCCGTGCCGACGCGGGCGTTGAAGTCACCAAGGACAATCAACTTGTCCACCTTCGACACAGTCGCCAAGAAGGCGTGCAGGTCCTCGTAGAATTCGTCTCTGACGGCGTCAGGGTTCGTCATCGTCGGAGCGTAGGCGCTGATGATGATGGCGAATTTGCCTCCCCAGAGAGGCAGGCGGAGGCTCATCAGGCGATCGTTGATGCCCTGCGGCAAACAGGGCAGTCGTCCCACGATGTCGTTCCGAATGGCGAAGGCGACACTCGCGTTCCGTCGCTCTGCCCTGGGTCGGCCGCTCCAGAAGAAGGTGTAGCCGGCACCCACCTCCTCCAGTTGGCCTTGTTCTGAGAATCGGGTCTCGCTGAGTGCGGCGATGTCCACCTTATAGCGCGCCAGTTCGCGTGCCACTAGCGCCGTCCTCCGTTCCGGTCGGTTGCTCCTCGGATTGTCTAAAAGGGAACGAACATTCCAGGCTGCCAGAGTGAGCGGGCTCACCCTGCCAGTGGTTTACTGTGGCTGAAATTCAGCGACTACTACTACTACTAGCGACCATCGACTCCAACGATGTCCACCGTGTGCCCTACAGCAGGATGGCTGCCGGGACGATGACTTGCGCATGAATTAGTCTGTAGTAACAATAGATCTGCGAAGCATCAACCGCATCCTCTCCTCCTCTCCCACTTGGACCAGGGGTCATGACAGAGTCAAGATAACTGGTAGCAGAAGAGGGTGCAGGTGACTAACACAACGAAAATCCGCCCCTAGGTGTACCATCACACCCCCTGGCCCCACACATAAATGGTAAGACTTCACACAACAAGAAAAAGGGGCAACTTGGACCCCAATTGGGTGGGAGTACCATAAAGGCCACATCAAGAAGGGCCATTGCTGTCTGACCCTCAATCCATCAGTAGGCTACTCTACACAAACGCACCCTGCGTTGGAATGTCAATTGGCAGCCTTCCAAGCCACGGCTTTTAGCGCATTGTAATAGTCTAAAACGTGTCAGAATTTTTAAAGTGAGGAAAATGCGTTTAAAGTCGGTCTCACCCTCTCTTCCACTTTCCGTGAACCAGCTCATTGTGCGAGTAGGTTAACCAGCTGATGATGAAATAAGGAGAGATGGCGGACAGTGCCAAGAACGGCCCCTCTGCGCGCGCCACGCACACAACGTCACCCACAAACGCATACACCGGGATTTCAAACAAAGGGGATCTCACCGGCAGTTGAGGGGCCACACGGAGAAGCCCAATAGCACACTTTTAACTTGCGTGAAATTTGTCTGGTTCGTGCCTGTTGTGTGTGGTATTGAATA